CAACAGAGAAAGGTTTTTCTGTCAGTTGTTTCTGGAACGTCAAGCGATATAGACATGTTCTCTTTCGTGTCTGGAACGGCTCCACAATGTGTGGGGAGGAGAGATCCCCCTGGACAGTTAGTACATGTCGACAATAATAAAAATATTTAAGTTAACGTTCTCCGTGTTTAATGTGATTCATTGTTGGACAAAACATTCAAGCGATCACCGGCCAGGAGAGAAAAAGCCACATTTTATCGAATTGGCGCAGTTGACCAAGATCTTCAGGCATGAGAGGGCTATGCAATATATATATATATATATATATATATATATATATATATATATATATATATATATGATGTCACACATTATGAAATGGACAAAATCCGACATTTATGTTAAGAGATTTTTTTATGCTTATAAGTTCTTTTTATAGATACAAATATTTAAGTAAATGCTCTGTTTATAATAAACAGTATTAACGACATTTACCGACCTGAATGTCCGAGAAAATTCTCATAGAAAATATGCGTCCTCCGAGAGGACCCGAACCTGTATCCTGTACGGAATCGTCATATAGCCTGACATGCTTTTACCAACTGAGTATATATATATATATATATATATATATATATATATATAGAGAGAGAGAGAGAGAGAGAGAGAGAGAGTGTATGCTAAAATAATGAATACACTCTTTAAATGTAAATAGTTAATAATACATTACCGTGATGTGAGGACTTATATGGTTGAAAATATTCAAAACAGGTGGAGTGGAAGAAGAGGGACAGTTGAATAGCCACCTAGATCAACAGATTTGACACCCTTGGATTTCTTTTTGTGGGGGGTTTCTAAAAGACAGTTTAGAGCAGGAAACCTGAAACAATTGCTGAAATGACAGTAGCAATTTAAGAAGAAAGTGCTCAAATACCAGAGGCAATGATACTGGACATTTGTAAGTCTATTTCTTCAAGATATGAAAAGTGTATTGAACAGAACGGCAACCAGTTTGAGCATTTGATGTGAACTCATCATTAATATGAATATTCTGCCATTGCCCCAAGTAGCTTTTATCTTATTAAAGTTAATTTTCTATGTTTTTTTGCATATTTTACTCTCAAGTTCTTTAAATGTGTATTCTTTCTTTTGTATTAATCTTATTTACAAGTCAAAATATATAAATTGAATAAGTTATAACGATTCAAAGAGTGTATACATTTTGGGATTTTATATACATCCTGTATATATATATATATATATATATATATATATATATATATATATACTCTCCCTCTCCCCATCGATTTGACGTAGAAGGGTCATGTAGATCAGGTCCTAGGAAACTGGCAGCCCGACACCAGCACTTGTGACTTGATTATAGTGGTGAAGGTTTTGTGCAGAACCATCCACTCTTTTGAAGGGCCGAATACAGTGACTTGCTGCACAATATATATATATATATATATATATATATATATATATATATATATATATATATTATATTGTTTAGCAATATTGGATGGCCCTGTAGGCAATCTTAACAATTTAGGTTACGTAAAAGACACTGTGTTGATAGCAGACTTAGAAAAGAAACCGAAAAAAACTTATTGACAAAATAGTAACGAAAAGGAAGAAGAAGAAATTACTGTTAATCAGTGTTAGAAGTTGAAAGGTCATGTGCATTATCTACACTATCGAAAATGTACCTGCCAAGATACAATAAGATGGGACGATGGTGATAATGTCCCTAGAACATAGGTTTTCTCTTGGAGTTTCCATCGTCAAGGCAAATAACCAGAGTTTGTAGATGTCCGCCTTACCTTAAAATAAATGATTCCTTAGTGTGACTTCAGTGGATAGACTGGATTCATCGGCCGAGCATCGACAAATGGAATTTGTTGTATATTTATCTATATATATATATATATATTTTTTTACTAATAAGTTTGAATTATTTATCTAAGGCCATTATGTTCAAGTGTGTTTATTATTTACAAGCAGGATATATAACTTTTGGTAACATTATGCGTATAAAACATGATTGCATAATAGACAACATGAATTATTAATATTAATGCATTTTCAAGAAGAGACAAAATAATTAAAAGCGTATAAACATCGGAATTTATTTCATGCATCCCGCTATTTTGGATATACATACACACATACACATACACACGCACACACTCTGGCACACACACACATGCATATATATATATATATATATGAATATATATACATATATATATATATATATATATATATATATATATATATATATATATATTCATATATATAAGTATATATACAGTATGCGATGGGTAAATTTTCGCCATATTATATTTTTAATTTCGCGCATGCTGTGCGTTGTTTTTTTATTTTATTTTGCCGACTGTACACTATAGTAGGGCCAGTTGGGCACCGTCTGTGAGAAAAAGACCACCATGTCGAGGATTCGGAAAGAGCGGGATGAGTCTGATGGTGATTACGAAACTGTTTGAAGTGATAACTAGTGATGGAGGCGTTATATCTCCATCCATCTTCCCACAGTGCCTCAGACTCAACACGGAAGCCTACATCAGGTGCGTTAGGGAGGATGTACTGCCCTGGGTCAAGAGAGTTGCTTCTTACAATAGGCCTCTGCACCATGCTACACAAGCAAAAGAACCCTATTATGGATGTCAGACAATCTCTGCAACCACATCACCACTTACATCTGGCCACCTAACTCCCCAGACTGCAGCCCCCTTTATTATTATGTAGGGGGCGCAGTTGAGCAAGAGACTACTAAAACTCGTTGTAACGCCAAAGATGAATTGAAGGCATTCAAAGATGAAAAGAATTGTAGCATTCACCAACTTAAAAAAGGAGACCATCCAGAAGAGTTGCAGGAGATTCCGAAGTTGTCTGGATAGCGATTTTATTGAATAAATTTACTTTACTATTTCAAGATATTTTTGTGTAATTTTGGTAAACATATCGCTTAAAATGTTTGTTATTATCATTTGTGCATAATTTAGACGACAATTTATACATCATATAAATTCATTGATGTTTCATCTATGTATTCCTTGCGACAATCATGACAGGTGATAGAATTGCTATTCATATTCTAACATTGTTCTGGTATATAAACAATCATATATATTGGAAATTAAAAAGAAACTTATGACAAGAAAATTAAGTTGCATCTATATTCAAAGTAAATATATATGTCTTTACGCGTGTCAGTGTTTTTGTGTGTTTTTATGTATGTGTACATTGTGTATGTTTGTGTGTATCTGTATGTATGTGTGTCGATATTGACATTGTGGTCAAATGAACATTTTTGCATCTGTAGTCCGGACTCAGGATGGTCGCATGACATAGACGATCACCAAGACTGATGCCCCGGCCTCCGCATCACAGGTCAAAGCAAATGTAACCACAGGAGTGCCCAGATGGACCGTCGGGTATTGTCTGTCTCTTGTCTCTTTGTTTGCTGTTTCAGTCCTATGGTAGCAGGGTGGCCGAGTGCAAATTTTGCAAACAAAATCAGAACTTTGAAAATTGAGGAAGCACATTCTTCCTACTTATTCCAGTCGTGCACTGGGATAACCTGTGAAACGCACTTACTCTCAGAATACACACACACACACACACACACATATATATATATATATATATATATATATATATATCGCCAGGATGGGATTTTTCAATCCGAGTAAACGCAATTTTTCTTGCTTGTTTCGCTCATGAATCAGGAAATACTGTCTTTTTTATCGTCTCTATTTAAATTGCTGGAAAAAAAATGAGTAACTATTGTCATTTAATGGTCTGTATTTAGATTGATCAAGAATGAGGAACTATAGACTTTTAATGGCCTCTATTTAAGTATCCTATTTTTTTACGAGACAGTGTGGAATTGGGAGGAATTCAGTTTGTATACAATAATACACAAAGGGAAATGAAGCGCATTTAACCATTGGAGAGGTTTGAAATAAAATAGATTTAATGTTCAGACAAGCTTTTTGGTATCTGAATTTGATTCAATCGATACAAGAAAATACCAAACGGAAAATGATTGACCAATTTCTTTCTAGCTAGCCCTTCGTATCCGCGGAATCAATCAACCACGGATCGAAAAAAATATATATATATATATGAAAAAAATTACTGGGAAAAAAACAAGAGTTGAATTGGCCACATACCATACACTGTTTACACATTGTTGATTTTTTTTTTTTCATATTCTTTTACTAAATGTTCACCTCATGCAATTCCCAAGATTCATTCATTTGTTTTCTGCGGATTATCTACTCTTTTCAGGTTATTTAAAGCCAGAAAATATTTTAGAACGTAAGATTTTTTTTTTTCGGTAATAAGGAATACAAGTCTTACTAATTAACTCGTAACTGGTGGGAGAAGATGTGGATTCATACCTATTCAGAATTTGATAAAAAAACAACAATAAAAAATAATGTGGACATAAAGAGGGAGATCAATTCTACATTACAATGAATATATAAACTGACCCCCCACTTTTTGGCCACTGTAGTTTCTATGAGTTTATATTCCAGTGAATGTAAATACATCTAAAAGACATCTCCGTGTAGCTAATCATTATTTCATTTATTAATCGATTCGTTTTTTACGGCTTATCAAAATTTGGTAAGTTATTTAAAACCAGAAAAGATAGTAAGATTTTTTTGGAGGGGAGATAATAATGATTTATTGATATTAGTCTTAGTAATTAACCTGTAGTTGGTGGGGAAGGTAGATTCATACCTGTCCCACAAGTATTTGCGTGTAAGCGAATATAAAGAACACAACTGGAATTAGGATTCGGCTCTCCGATTAAAAATTCTGACTCATTAACCATTACACCACTCGCATACACAAGCTTATTGCACCTGGTATTTTCAAGCTGTCACCCATATGATCAGACTCGACTTAACTTCAGTAATTGTATGGGAACTCGGCTCCCCGATTAACAATTCCGAGTCGTTATCCATTACATTACTTGCACATCCAAGCTTACAGCAGCTGATATTCTCAAGCCGTCACCCTTCTAAGTATTGACCAGGCTTGACGTTGCTTAACTTCAGTGATCGTACGGGAACTCGGATCTCCGATGAAGAATTCCGAGTCATTATCTATTACATTACTTGCGCATCCAAGCTTACAGCACCTGGTATTCCCAAGGAGTCACCCATCTAGTGAGTCAAGTGAATTCCACAATGTATCTCCAACTGCAGGATATCAGCCAACTGCCCCACGCGGTCAGATGTAGCACAAAGCCGAATTTAATGTGGGGTATCTGAGCCCGTAGGCTCGGCCAAAATTTCTCCGTAGACCTCGTATAAAATGGGATAAAAAATGTCATAAAGTTTAATGTACCTAGTTTTAAGTATAGCTAAAATAACTAATGTGATTTTAGGCATTACTGTAAATCAATTGGCAAAGTTTATCCGTGAACTGCAAAATCGTATTACCCTTTGTATTGCTAATGATGGAGGACATGTGGAAACTTTAAATAGAATTTCAATAAAACCTTAAAAAATATAGATTTACTTTTTTCTAATCCTTTTTACAAATTATTTCTATCGCAAATGCAAATAAAGTTATATTTTGTTTTAATGTGAACACGAATTTTATGGACACCCTGTGTGTATTGGCCCTGAAATATCAATTTCAGTTGAGCTCTCTGGGGACGAGGTGTGGGTTGGTAAACAGTGACTATTATAGCTATATAGCGAGACTCTTCGCAGATGCGAATTGAGTCACTGTCGGTCACTGAGCCTGTTTCTAAAAATAAATACGCTAAAAAATCCACTTTCATCCCTACCGTGCGCCGACGGCTTAATGGTTAGAATTCAGTCGGGTTTCGATCCTAGCTAGAGGCAACCGGATGTCTAGCCACACTGATGAGCTGCGAAACAGTCTGTCTGTGGATGACGTTATATATATATATATATATATATATGATTAATAAATAAAATAAATCATTTCTTTATAAATATGATCAACTATCTTCTTTTATGTGTCATGTCCATTCAGGACGTAGGCGATCATGGCCCTTTACATCTTTCTGTCAACTTGTTGTTCTTAATATGTTTTGTCATTTTTTTCTCCAAAATCTTGTTCTACGATCCATTTGCTCCAGCTCATCAAGTATGTTACACGTCGCTTTCCTCTGCCCCTCATTCCCTCAATCAGTCCTCTGAGTATCTGGTTTTCCAAACCTCGTCGTTGCAAACATGTTCGGCCCATGGTATCCTCGGCATCTTTCTGTAGAACCATATTTCTGTTGCTTCACGTGACAAGACTCTTCTTCATATTTGAGGAGATTGTGCAGCATTTGCTGCCATATAGGGGGACAGATATCATGTAACAATTCAGTACTCTTTCCTTTGTTCCTAACGAAATTTTCCTGTTTCTTAATACTCTGCTTAGCTTTTGGAATGCATCTTTGGCCATCCCAATACGTCTTTGGATCTCAGTGTCGCACTTTCCGTCCTCTATTAGAACATTTCCCAGATATTTAAATTTCTGTACTTGTTTGATTTTAGTATCCCCGATTTTTTAGTTTGACTTTTTGGCTCATCGTTTTGCTGATAACTATGCATTCTGTCCTGCTGTTTATAATTAGTACTTTCTTCTTGATAACGGTCGAACTCTCTGCCTCTGAGCAGAGAGGAACCCGGACGAGGCTCCGCCGAAGGGCAGAGTCTCGATCGGGGAGGCTGACTAACCCGATCTCGTTTATACGGGTTATACGGGCATTTTTTGGCCGAGCCAACGGGCTCGGGAAACCCATGTTAAACTCGGCCTTGTTCCACATGCAACCCTCGTGGCGGGGTGACTAGATACCGAATCAAGCCGAGCTTCTCGGCTTGACGATCGAACTCTCTGCCTCTGAGCAGAGAGGAACGCGGACGAGGCTCCGCCAAAGGGCAAAGTCTCGTTCGGATAGGTTGACCAACCCGATCCCGTTATACGGGTTATACGGGCATTGTTTAGCCGTGTCTACGGGCTCAGACACATTAAACCCGGCCTTGTGTCATATGCAACCCTCGTGGGCGGGGCTGGCTAAATATAGTCTACCCGAACTCTTTTCGGCTAGACGCTCGAACCCTCTACGGGCATTTTTTGGCCAAGCATACGGGCTCGGAGAACCCACGTTAAACCCGGCCTTGTTTAAATATTCTAGCTGAAATCTTTTTCGACTTACAGGCCGAGATGCACCTGGACGAGACTCTGCCGAAGGGCAGTGTCTCGTTCGGGGAGGTTGACCAACTCGAACTCATTTATGCGGGTTCTAAGGGGATTTTTGGCCGAGCCTACGGCCTCAGAAGACGCACGTAAAACTTGGCGTTGTGCCACATCTACCTTCATGGTGGGTGACTAGTAAGTACCGTCTAGCTGGAATCTGTTACTCAGATCTTAGCTGTTGTCGAACTCTGCCTTCGGGCCGAGGGGAACACGGACGAGACTATTCCGAAGGGCAGAGTCTCGTTTGGGCTGGTAGACAGACCCAAATCCATTTATGCGGGGTTACGAGGACTTTTCGGCCGAGACCACGGGCCGAACATTAAATTCGGCCTTGTGACACATCCTACCCGGTGGAGAGGTTGGTGAATATCACTAGCTGGGATCTGTTGAGTACGACCTAGAGAGGAAAAAGTTGAAATGCGATCTCTTCGAGCAAACCGCTTTTCGGACACCGTAAATTGCCAACGGTGACAGCAGCGACACGGTCAAAGCTATACTTTGACCTATAAAAGCGAATGAAATATGCTTGTAGAGATGGACAGAGTGAGAGATTTCGCACAATTTAATACCAATTTTGAAGAGATTTCATCTACTGGAAAAAAGTTATAAAGCATGGAAATGGTGAGTGATCCCCCTGATTGGTCCGCACTAAAATTCTAAGAAATTCACTAACACAAGGTCCTTCCAATAGTAGCACTCACTACTGGATTGACTTGCGACGACCTTGTGCATAACTGTTACTTTTATTCTTATTGTACTGATTTTTAAAAATAAACCTTTACTTATTTTATCCACCTTGATTTACAAGTATATATTCCTATTAGCACAGAATATAACACTTATCTTCATTGCCATATTCACAATGTTTCGGCCGTTGTACGCTTCATCCTTCTTCAGGTCATTGGAATTTCGAACCGAACACTTTATTTCGTCTACCGGGATAGATTGTTCAAGTCCCGTGTGCCATGCTTCGTCCGGATGTCACAGTTATTTCCTATTGACTCAACTCTCTAAGTTTTGATTCACTACTGCTGTGGCCTGGTGTTGAACTCGCAACTCTTTGGAACTAGTCTAGTCACTGGATCTAACCAATGTTTTATCCACTGGGCTATGTGTCGTTTTGAATGTGGCATTGAAAATGAGCATAACAGAGTGATTAATGTAAATAATACAAGTTATCTTAATACTTCATCTCAGAGATATAGAGGCCGAAAAGTTGTGAATATGGCAATGAAGACGAGGATAATAGTTCGAATAATGCAAATAATGAAGTAATCATAATACCTCATATCAGATATATAGATAGATGTTTGGGTCTAGTCAGTGGATCTAACCAACGTCTTTATCCAACAGCCGAAACGTTGTGAATATGGCAATGAAGATGAGGATAACAGTCCGAATAATTTAAATAATTCAAGTAATCATAATACCTCATCTCAGAGATATAGCTGCTGAAACGTTTTGAATATGGCAATGAAGATGAGGATAACAGTCCAAATAATGTATTAGGTTTGGTACAAAAATAATGTCGTTTTTTGACGTTCAACTTCGAAAGATCATAACTCCTTTCATAATAAACTTTATTAATCGAAATAAGAACCATTAGAATCGACACATTTTTGCCAACGAGAAACAAGTTTATTTATCCCATTAGCATAGAAATCCGGAGTTCTGGAAGCGATTAAGTCAATGAAGGCCGATTCGGCATCATCTGGGCTTTTGAAGCTTTTTTCGCGCAGGAAGTTGTCGAGATGCCTGAAAAAGTGATAATCGGTGGGCGAGAGGTCCGGTGAATATGGCGGATGAGGCAGTCTCGTAGCCCAATTCGTTCAGCTTCTGCAGGGTCAGTTGAGCAACATGTGGGCGAGCGTTGTCATGGAGGAGAATTGGTCACTTCATATTGACTAATCTCGGGCACATACGTTGGATATTCTGGTGCATTTCGTCAATTTGTCGGTAGTACTTCTCCGCCGTAATCGTTTCGCCCGGATTCAGGAAGCTGTGATGGATGAGACCGGCCACAGACCATCAAACAGTCACCATAATCTTTTTTTTGGTGCAATTTCGGCTTCGGGAAGTGTTGTGGAGCTTCTCCGACATCCAACCACTGTGCTGAACGTCGCCGGTTGTCGTAGAGGATCCACTTCTCATCACACGTCACAATCTGCTCGAGAAATGGGTCGTTTTGGTTGCGCAGAAGGAGCGTAGAAGACACCTCAAAACGACGATTTTTTTGATTATCGTTCAATTTATGCGGCACCCATTTATCCAAATTTTTTGACTTCCCTATTTGCTTTAAATGGCGATCGACTGTTGAGTGGTCGACCTCGAGTTCAACAGCAACTTCTCGTGTGGTTTTGCGAGCATCGGCTTCAATTAAGGCTTTCAAATGTTGGTTATCAACCGCAGTCGGCCGGCCGCGACCGTCTTCATCTTCGAGGCTCTCGTCACCATTGCGAAATTTCTTGAACCACCGTTGTGCCACACGTTCGTTAGTGGTTCCTGGGCCAAACGCATCATTGATATCACGAGCTGTCTCGGCAACTTTTCGGCCTAGTTTGAACTGGAACAAGAAAATAGTGCGGATTTGAATTTTGTCCATGCTGTCGAAAAGCCTGCAAAAAATGAATGAAGAGATTTATAACGGTAACGAATAACACGATTCGATAGAGCGAAAAAGGCGCTTCAAAAGGATATATAACTTGGCTATATATATCAATGAAGTAATTCAGAAATCATATATAAAAGTAACATATGTGAGAAAACGACATTCTTTTTGCAACAACCTAATAAATCATGCAAGTCATTATAATACCTCGTCTCTGAAATATAGAAAGATATAGGGGTCTGATTTCCCG